CTAGGTTTAGGTGTGTGTATAGTGGTGTGGTGTGTGTGTTTGAGTATACATCCATGTATAGTGGTGTGTGTGTGACTAGGGTTACATTCATGTGTAGTGGTGTGCATTGTATATGACTAGATCGACGTGTGTGTAGAGACCTGATTCAATACGATGTATTTGCTACAGCAAGTGATCTGTATGGACTTGTTGCAGTATGCGGGGTGGCGTGCGTACATCTATATTCGCTGTATGTATATACTTGTGACGCTATTTGGAATGGATATGACTAGCTGGTGAATATGTATATATATGACACAGCATGTTAAGTGCATAGGGCTGCTCGAGATATATATCCGTAGACTTGCTATAGTACGCTGTGTGCATATGATTAGCATAGATACATGCATGGAATCGTTGCAGGAGGTCGATTGTATAGGGTTAGCCAAGATATTGCATGCACTTATTATAGCTATGGAGATTCTTCGTGTTTTGCCCTTGTGTATAGAATGATCCATGTCTGTGGCTCTAACAGAGTGCATACGTATGTTGATGCACAATTACATGACTGATTGGTTTCCGTGTTCTTTACGTCATATATATGTGTATATATATATATATATATCTTTAATACATGCATGTTGTATACATTGACCACAAATGCATACACATTGAGAGATAGGAAGGTTGATCGCACATGGAATTCTCCTATGCACACGCACACACATACGGAAAGAAACTGGAATACGATATGATTCACATAGTGGGAGTAGAAACGGGTGTCTTTTACCCCGATGCACTTTTAATCGTCTATATTTGCCAAAGTTGCACGAAAAGAATGCAGCTTGTGCCTCTGACATAGTTTACAAAGCTGTTCATATATCAACATGTTCGCTGGACTGAAGTGTATGTTCATATTTATCAATATGTACACGCATGACCAGCCATTGAAACCATATGTATTTGTATTTAATGCTCTTTTCTGCCCACTCTGTATGTGAATTTGATTACAAGAATCGGACATTCGCACCTATTGTGAGTTGAGTTGTTGAGCTCGACCATAACGTGTTTCAAGTGTCCGAGGCGCACATATCTGTGCATTGTGTTTCAAAAGGCATACGCGTTTGGCCATCTTGATTGAATTATTTGCTAAGTCTGGAGTTCTATTCTATGGTAGGTTATCCATATATGATAGCCGGTGGTGTTGCATACAAACTAGCATTATATATATATATATATATATATGCAATTGTATATAAATTTACCTGCGGTGGTCTACTGAGTCGAAGTGCTCGTAGTCAAAGTGTATATGTACACAAGCGAAAACTTACACATACATAGACCAAGCTTATACAATTAGAAATATATCCTTCAGTTGTAGGATTTCTAATGACACAAATGTTAAACATCTAGTATCAGACCATACTGTGTATGACCTTTGTTGATCCACATGATATATGTATGTATTTATTAATAAATATATATATATATACATGTACATAATTACATATATGTGTATGTATGTATGTATATATTGTTATATATAAAAATGTATATAGATACATAAATATACTATTTTATCACATGTATTTTGTATTTATGGTTTTATATATATATATATATATATGAGTATGTGTATTAATTGCTCGTATGTGCACACAGTACATCAATTTGCGATGGTATACGAGCGCCCAAGGATTCTGATGTATCCATTCAATTGGTTATTCTAATGTACTTCGGTGTATATACATTATAGAATTAGATATTTCTTATTTATGACGCCATTCGTTACACTGTAGTCCTTGACCATACTCTCTTTTTTATTTTATATTTGCGTTTTGGGTACCAATTTCGTACGACGTTTCTTGTGACGACTTATAATCGTGCGTTTTACCGACCATCTACTTAGTCTGAGGCTATTTGAACCGTATTTTGCTATCTACCACGCACATTGGCTGTAGAGGTCATCGGTGTTTGGAGTCTTGTCGTGTCTTTTATCGAGTTGATGCATGCATTGCAGGTATCCAGTTTTAGGGTTTTACCACGCATATTGACTGTAGCGGTCGTCGGTGTTTGGAGTCTTGGTGTCTTTTATCGAGTTGATGCAGGCATTGCAGGTATCCGTTCTGATTTCTCGTATGTAAAACGTTTACTGCGTGTCTCTGAGCATAGCCAGACCTTAGCGGCAGGCTAACGCACGAACTAATTAATTAATGAATATATGACACGGATTAGCTATTAGGCAGTAAATGCATTAGACTTATCTTAGGCAGAAGTCAAGAACTCTGAAACTGTCATGCTTCCGATGAACAAGATTTTACACGTATATATATATAATTCATATATTTATTTATATATAAATGTTTGTGTGTGTGTGTCAATACATGTATGTATACGGTATCTATAACGCCCAATATATGCAACAACTGACCGTCTGGACTTGGTGATTAATTAAATCTAATTTACCTCACAGGACGCGGTAACGGACTTAGCATTCAGTGAAAACGGTTACTATATGGCCAGTACATGCAACGACAACACAGTCCGACTTTGGGATCTTCGTATGAAGAAGGTGTGTGCTCAGGCCTTTGGCCTTCTGTAATTGTGCGCTAGGGTGCAACAAGAGTCAAATGTGCACGATACGTATAGCGACGTCGCTGAGCAATTTGTATTGAAGTACATGCTCGCAACATATGTATGAAGTTATGAAGGTATGATAGAAAATATATGTATGTTATGTATGTATGAAGTTATGGAGGTATATATGTAAGTTAGAAAATATATGTTTATGTATTTATGTGTGTGTGTACAAGTGTGTACACGTATATATATATATCAACTGCATGCTCTTGGATCAGCGGTCCTTTGAGCATACTTTGTTAGGAAGAAGAGCTGTCTTTGGGATGGCATGCAAATATTGACACTAGTCTTACTAACACTCTGATTATCCCTTTTCTCTTATTTTTCAATCTCGTTGTCCCAATAGACTTGACATTGTATTATAATACGCAGTATTCAATTATTGTCGTTTGTGTCCTATCAAATCACCACACCTTCGTCCATCCTATTCCAGATTCTCAACTTCAAGGTGTTCGAGTACGACGGCAAGATCAACCCACACTCCGTTCAATTCGATCGTTCCGGTACCTATCTAGCCGTGGGTGGGCAGGACACACGCGTGTATGTGGTTAAACACTGGGACGAATTATGTCGACTGGAAGACCACACCGGCGCTGTTACTAAGGTGGCATTCGGCCCGGATGCCGGGTCGATTGTCTCAGCGTCGATGGATCGCCGGGTGAACATCTATGGCTTCTAGGCAGTTTTCAATACTCTATTTGTGAGCTGTTTTAGATATCTTTTAGGGTCTTTTATGGGGCCTGGAATGGGGCGCGCACTGCTCGGTAGTGGTGTGGATGTGTGTATATAGCGAGATGAATGGATGGATAGATAGAGGGGGTCGTGCCGGTGTTGGAGCGCATAACGAGAGACGCAATGAAAGAATAATATAAGCCATGAGCCACACCCACAAGTTGTTTCACATTCTGTAATTTATTTTGGACGTTGACGTGCGAAACACTTGCTGTATTTTGTTCGTATATCAGACCAATTAATATGACAATTGCGATTCTAGTCTCAGTTTTTACGATGAACATGTATGTATTTTTGAGTATTTATGTATGTGTATATATATATATATGTGTGTGTGTGTATGTATGTATATACGTATGTATATATATATATATACATGTGCGTGTGTGTGTGTGTATTATATATATATTTATATATATAGTGTATGTGTGTATGTATGTATGTATATATACATACATATATATATATATGTGTGTGTGTGTTTGTGTGTACATGTATATAACAGTATGTTTATGTACCCTTTCTATTTCCGGAAATATTTCGAGATTTTTATGGTAGTCACGAGAAATCGATATGATATGTTTTGTTTTGCATACATAGCAATTTCCATGTATAATATCGAAGGCGGGGTGCATACATTTCTACTTCCAAAATGATATTGGCTTTAAAAAGTGGGTCGCCTACGCTTGCTTCAATTTTCCTTACCGTTCAGCTTTGACAGTTCACATTATATTGGATGCTGTAGAAAGCATGTCAAGTTGCAAAGGGGCGTCGTTGCTGACACTTGAATGTATCTCTCATCTAAAACCTTAGTTTTGTTTGTTGACATACGAGTAGTAATTTTAATTGAAGCTGGATATATTGCTTCCACCTTTGCCCAGTATCCATCGCCCTTGAGTCTCGACTACATTGTTTAATTTTCATGCTTGCAATTAAAAAGCGAGCTGCACTTTGGAGTATTTGCATTGTTAAAATTTATTGTTCTCTAAAAGATAATTAGAAAGTAAAGATTGGTCTTGTAAAATCTAAATAAATTGGAACATTAAAACTAAATAGTTATGTCCTTCGGAGTTCGGACGTTGGTTTCGGGTTCGACCGACTAATTTAATTTTAAAATATCCTCGTTTCTTTTCAGTATAGAGAGAGGGCCAATGCCCTGATATAATTTGAATTTTTATAGAAATTAGAATCTCTCGCATGTGTCCGCGACTAATTTCACTTACAGAGTTACAGTTACATGTGTATATCTTATCGAGTTGGCTCAGGCGTGGGGTGCGTCCTCATGGGCCCGTGGGCTGTGGCTCAGGAGTCAGTGGCTGTCTTGATGACTTTGGGTCTTTTTCCTCTTTAGTCTTTAACTCTTTTCTTGTGACTTGGCGTCTGGCGAGTCGGCGACACCGTTGCTCAAAAGTTACTGGCCACATTGGTCATAGTTCAGAGTAGGTTCCCAAGTCAACAGCTGGTATCAACCAATCATCGTGCTTGTAATTTTTTATAACACAAATGGTATTTCAGCTACTCACATACCGCAAGGCGCAAAATTTAAATATTATCTTCCAGCCACATTTTTTTAACTTTTTTATAGTATTCACTTGTTCTTTTTAGGAGGCTATTGAGAACCTTAAAAAATAAATATAGGCCTGTCATATAAACTCACAACTCACAACTCGTACATGTGTAAGGGTTCTCAATTGGAATTGTAGGCGTTAAATAAAAATATCATATGTAGCCTTCTAGAGAATACAGAGTAAAGAAATAAATATGTCCGCCTTGTTCTCTGGTTTAGATTCGATATGTACCACCTGTACTCACAGGAGTACCTAGTAAAATTATCATCAATTTATTTGTCATCTCACTTCTGTTGACACTGTACGATAAAAAATACAAAAATAAATTGTACTCGAGTCTCGACTCTTGAGTCTGTACTAGTCTGGAGATGCAATATTGGAAACAAGCATAATAATATACTGAGTGGTACATATTTAAATGTTAATATTTGAAGCGTCGAATTGCCATTTCGTGAAGACTGTTCACTGTTCACTGTTCACTGTTCAATGTTTATCTGAATCTGCAAAACTGCGAAGCCTCCCTGTAAAACTTATATATATATGTATACTTCACACTTTCTTTAAAAGTTTTCACAATATAGATCGATGTTAACAGTATTCCGATGTGATTTCTTGTTAACACCACATAAATCACACAGACAGCGATTGTTGACTTTCAAGTTCAGCGTACAGGTGGCATTTAATGTTTACACACATTGAAGGAACCAAATCGGATCGTTTTCACATCGTCCACAATTGATGAAGTGGCTATATATTTAAAGAGCTATTATAACCAATGCTTATAACATGGCAATAGCTGGTTTTAGTAGAGCCCTGTGGTTTCTTCCGTACAGATGTCATCCCATTTATTGGCGTCCGAGGAACTGCTGATTCCCCCACCACCTGCGAAGCTCCCTCTAGAAAGATTTTGCAATTCTATTGAGCTTTTTCGTGACCGAGAGTGTGTCTGCGTATGCAATACAGATGCACTGAAAGGTGATGTACCAACACAGTGTGACAACTTTCACATCACTGTATCAAGCGTGAAAAACAACCCGGCGTTTGACACCGTTGAGGTTAAGCTTCAAAATGACGGGCACATGTCCAGTGCGAAACCTGGTAGGTGTAATACATTATCTCAGGAGGTATTGTCACTGCCGCATTCATCTCGAGCGGTCTCAGACGAATCAACTAGTTCCTCAATTTATATACTGATGGCTAAAGCTGCGATCGCCTGTCTCATCTGGGCGGCGTGTTCTACCTTTATTTTATTTCTGACCCCATATGTGCTCAACACCATCGCATTCGACTATCCGATCACCTTGGCTGCCATGACTCAGTGCGGGAGTACCATTTTCATCTTGGTTGCCACCAAACTAATTCAGCCCCGGCCTATGAGTGCGAGAGAATTCGGGCTCGTCATTCTGCCAATGTCACTACTCGCAGCGCTGGGATTCATCTTATCACATGCGGTGTACATGACGCTAAATGTAGCATTCGTGCAGATGCTTAAAGCTGCCTCGCCCATCACCGTCATAATCATAATGGTGTTCTTCGGTATACCTACACCCACTAAACTGCTCTTCTGTGCAGTGGCCATGATATCGGTTGGATGTCTAGTGGCAGGGTTCGGAGAGACCGCATTTTTGTTTCTGGGCCTCCTGTTGTTCGTGGTCTTGATATATCGAATGCGATTCAGGATGTATGGATACAGAAACTACTTATAACTACATATCATAACACCCACGTCGGGATTGTGGCTGATAGCGTTGGCGACTATAGAAGAAATACCCAGACTCACACACACGGGTGAGATGTCCATACTCCTGAATAATCCCTTACCAAGCATAGCATACATGTTTTCGGGTATAATAGTTTACTTCACTCTTTTAATAGCAATACAAGAAACTTCAGCGCTGACATTGAAAGTAGTCTCTCAGATAAGAAACATGGCTATTATCTGTGGTGGGGTGTTTCTCTTCGGCGATTCAGTAAGTGCGATGCAGGTCGGTGAATATACTATTGAGATGATAGGGTTTTGGGTCTTCCACAAACGAGACAATGAATTGCAGGCTAAGAATGGACTGAGGGGACGGGGTACCCAGGTCACAGCCGACATGACCATGAGCATTCCCTCCTTGGAACGGTTCAACAGTTGTTCGTGATAGTTGCCCTTCCTTAATATTCGTTGCCTATTACCGTAGAGAATTTGTCGTCAGTGTGACCTGACGGATAGTGACTATGTCACACACTCAGCAGTCATGCCTAGGAACATCCGTATTCGGAAATGAATTAGCACTAACTCGGAGTCATTCAATATTCTATCATCTAGAACTGTACACACAAGAGATATACTCCAAGCGCGTATAGCCCAACACATGCACACAGTCCACTTCTCACTAGAAATGCATATGTTATGCACGTGGAGATGTGCATGCGCTCAAGGATTACTCGCATTTATTGAGGCGGAGCATACACTATGCAACAAACTGTACAGTTCAATACTTTGATTCACAAACTATTACAACTATTATGCGCTTATAACTGCACGCGACCGTTAGAGATTCGCGCTTGCTTTCACCCTACATACAGATTATGAAGAGATACAAATGTCAAGCAATCGAAAACCACCAGACCAATTTAAGAATAAATACTACCACAACCCTTTTCAATTCGACAACTTTTGTTTGTGTTTATCTAATAAAATTGAAGAATTCATGTTTTATTCCCCTCATTACACTGCGTCACCTTCTATTAAAAGTATTATGATCCAAAAGTATCTTGTAGAGTGGGGTATGTAGCTCATATCTATTTCTTCTATTATTTACAAGTACCATGACCCAAAATACATATTGCAGAGTGAGGTAGGTAACTCATATCTACTTCTGAATCGAGTCGATCAGTGCAAATACATGCCGAAGAACAAAACGTCCGAAGCACATACCCGGACAGCCATATGTGAATGATTATTGGAGATCACGACCGTTGATAATCGTAGGCCAGAAGATATATCTTTGTCCCAACTTAGGTACCTGTCCTAAACATTATCGCAGGACACAATCGTAGCGAACACATTTCAGGACGAACGCAAACCAATCTGTGGATTCCCATGGCCGTTCATAGTACATCTACACAGCGCTAGTACACTACACCGGTATATAAATATACATTTGCAATCAATGGGGCAATTTATAACACGATTTTTAATTAGCTTGTCTCCATCATCGCAGACGAACACTCATGCTCAACATCACTCCCAAGCTTCAAAAGCGGTCTTCCGGGCGGACATAGTCGACATTCAACAGCTCGTAGATACCCGCCTCAGAAATAACACCGTCGGTGCACCCCTCAATACCCATATCAGTACCGAACTGGCACTGGGGTAGAACCTCACTCTCGCGGGGAAAGAGACAGATACCCTGTTCTTGGGCCTCCTTTGCAATATCGTAGTTGTGCTCGGCGGGGCCGGTGTAGAATAACAGCGAACATGCTTCTTGCTCTGCCTGTTGGTTGGTTGTTTGAATGGGATGTGGTATGGTAAGCAATGATTAGTATTCAGGCACATGCTCCTTGCTCTGCCTGTTGGTTGGTTGTTTGAATGGGATGTGGTATGGTAAGCAATGATTAGTATTCTGGCACATACTTCTTGCTCTATCTGTTGGTTGGTTGTTTGAATGGGATGTGGTATGGTAAGCAATGGTTAGTATTCTGGCACATGCTTCTTGCTCTATCTGCTGGTTGGTTGTTTGAATGGGATGTCGTATGGTAAGCAATGGTTAGTATTCTGGCACATGCTCCTTGCTCTGCCTGCTGGTTGGCTGTTTGAATGGGATGTGGTATGGTAAGCAATGATTAGTATTCTGGCACATGCTCCTTGCTCTATCTGTTAATTGGTTGTTTGAATGGGATGTGGTATGGTAAGCAATGGTTAGTATTCAGGCACATGCTCCTTGCTCTGCCTGTTGGTTGGTTGTTTGAATGGGATGTGGTATGGTAAGCAATGATTAGTATTCTGGCACATGCTTCTTGCTCTGCCTGTTGGTTGGTTGTTTGAATGGGATATGGTATGGTAAGCAATAGTTGGTATTCCGGCATATGCTTCTTGCTGTATCTGTTGGTTGG